GAAGAGAATCTCTTACACCTGAACATGCTGAGCAGCTTCTGTTTTTGTTTAATGTTTATAAAGACAAAGACTAAAATATTCCATTTACACGGATTAAGAACAGTTTTTTTAAAGTAATGTAAAATTATCTCATTCACTTGGCACATTTTGAAATGTGCTAAACTTTACACTCTCAAAAAATGCTCTTGAGATATAGACCCCAATAATTTAGTTTTTATTTATTATTATTTCAAAATAATATGATGTACTGAATACCACTTGCGTTGCCAAAGAACACAGTTTATTGAGGTATTATTATTTGAAAAATTTATATTTATTTAAACAATATTGCACATTGTTTATATGTACTGTATTGTACAATAATATTTCATTTGTTTGTTTGCATTTATTTTTGTTGTTTGTTTTGTTTGGATATATAAATAATTGATATGTAAATAAATATGATATAGGCTACTTTTTCATATGATGGAGAGTATTTGTTCAGTATAGTGTTAACAACATAAATTGATTCTCTGTTAAATGGCCAATTTTGTTTTTATTTTGTGAATGAATTATCACTCTGTATTGCAAGTATGAAATATAATCTCAGCTCCTTAAAGTAATTAATATTAAATTGGTTAACATATTTAACTGTACTTAACACATAAATGTAATTTGTCAAACCTTCGTGAAAATGTTCTGTGGTTAGTTAAGTTTAAACTTTTTATTTTCTTGCTTTGGTTTTGGCCTTTTGCCTAGCCTCATATTTCTGTCTATTATCCTACAGTAGGTTTTGTCTTGTAAAATTAAAAGTAAGGAGAATTTACTTTTAGTTATGTTTATTCTTATTCATATTTGTTTGTTTTAAGAATTCATGAATAAAAGAGTTCATTTTAGTACAGGATAAATCATTCAGTTGTTTTTATTCCAATTGATCTTAGTTATTGCCAATTGCCAGGGAAGATTTGGGCAAACAAAACAAAACATACATACAATTCTTATAATTCTAAAATTCTTATTCTTTGTTTTACATTTATATGTCATATTTCTAATTCATCATGTTATAATATTAATAAATTATAAAACCATTTTATATTTTTATTTTATTATTTAAAAATCAGACCCCTAATAATAAAAAATAGTAAACTACAATTAAGAAGTAATATTTTATTAACATAGTAACATCTTGGTCATTCTCATTCTGTGATATTGTTATTGTTGGGGGCGGGTTCATAGGGGAGAATGAGAAAATTTTATTATGGAGTGAAAAAGAAATTAATACTTAAATTTACAAAATATATCTTAAAATATAGGAACATGTCAGAATAATACCAATTTATTAGATGAGTGAGTATATACAAAGTTTCTTATGGTTGAGTCCAAGGGTTTGGTGGAGATGTCTGGTGAGTGGCTGTAGACTGGAGCGTGGACTGAGATCACCAGGGGCGGACAAAAGTCTTTGAAGGGGTGAATCTTCTCCAAGAGTGGTAGATAGGATATTCCGTAGCTGTAGAATGTCTTATTTACAAAATCGTCAGGAGGTCTTCCAGTTACAACACTTAATATTAAGTATTTAGTATTTTATTTTCACAATTACATTACACTCTCTAGCATTTAGAAGGAAGAGAGATCTTGAGCAAATAATTACATGTTAAACGTTATTAGTTTACTCCAACAGTCAAAATATAATCCACTATATATATATTTAAAAAGAGAATAAACAAGTAGGACATGCTGACTGTGGGTTAACTAATACAAGAGTGGACAGTACAGTCTGGAAAAGTAGGTCAGTTAAGATATATAAGCTATCTTTGGGAATCCTTAGTTGAAAATTCAAATATAGGCCTATTAAGCTTAAACCAAACAGTTATTGTTTTACAGCACTTAACATTTCAAGAATCCTCTCTTGACCAAATTCTGAATAATATAAATGATGACATATTATGTCTTAAAGATTGTCGAGTTCCGAAAGACATTGCCTTTCGGAACTGGTTAAAATATTCAGAATCGATAACAGCTGTAAATATGAGATTCGGATTCGATCCGGGTTCGATAACGGCTCTAAATTTAAGATTCGGATTCGATCCGGGTTCGATAACAGCTGTAAATTTGAGATTCGGATTCGATCCGGATTCGGTAATGGCAATAAATTTTAGATTCGGATTCGACCCGGAACTAATTTAAGTATTCGGATTCGATCCGGATTCGGTAAATTCTGTACAGCTATGATTCGGATTCGGATTCGAACCAAAATTTCTGGATTCGCACAGCCCTGGTCACATTTCAAATGTGAAAAACTAGATTACTAGGGTTGACTTCTCATGTTTTATCATTACTCACATTATTGTTTCATTTTCAATTCACCTTACAGTATTCAACATTCAGTGACTCACAATGAGTTCTCACATAAACTTGTTTATTCTCTTGATTTTATTTTATTCACGTGTTGTTGTGTGCTGAGATATTTCCCTATGACAACTCTTTTATTAGAATTCGTCATTGTGGTTATTGAAATATTATGTAGTCTAGAATTAACATCTAGAAAGTATTTCATTGACTGGATGTGAATTCTAGAAAAATAGCCAAGACTTTTTGTCAGTGCTGTGTTGAATGAAGTCAAGTTAAATGTTAGCAGTGGTTAAAAGCTCACTTAATATTTGTTTTGTATGTAGCTAAAATTTGTAAATAGCTAATTTAAAAATATTTATTGTCTTGTTGTGAATTTCTCAGTTAATAATCAATATATCAGTGTTCACATGCAATGTTCAATAGCTGATTATACGCAGAGTATTTTTGTTGTTTGGAGGGTTACCTAACAATCGTTAGTATGTTGGCAGTGGTTAAAAGCTCACTTAATATTTGATTTGTATGTAGCTAATGTGGCATACTTTATGCACACTTTGGTGATCTGGTCATGCGATTCAAGATCCTGACCAAATCATTCTTGTTGGAAACGTTAACTGAACACATTATTTAACACAGAGGAGACAATTTACCGCAATTCACAGGCCCTAAAAGCCAGCTTTGATGAGAGTTTGATTAATTAAGACATTATAAAACTGAAATACGTGGATTGTTCAACATAGTGAATATTTAGTATATAAGTCAACTGGACACAACGTGAACTAACATTTTAATTAATAATCAATAATAAATGACGGAATAAATGACATAGTGAATTTGACTAGATGATCTGAAATTACATATTATTAAAATACTATTACTACGACACAATACCTCAAGGGGGCGTCCCCCCGTTTCCCAAGCAATTTAGAGACCCAAGCAATTGGAAGCGTGCTGGGCCCATCAGTGTGCTGGATGGTATCAGTGTTCACATGCAAAGTTCAATAGCTGATTATACGCAGAGTATTTTTGTTGTTTGGAGGGTTACCTAACAATCATTAGGGGACGGATGGAATAAACTAACCTTTACTACATTATTGCTTTTGGTTAGTTCAGATAAAGCAGGTCCCTAACTTATACTATTGTTTTTATTGGACATTGAACTCATTTGTACCCTCAGTGGTTATATAATAAACCAAATTTTCTATAGGCTCAAAAAACTTCTTTTCTTTTCTATCATTATAATTTGCATTTCCTCTTTGTATACTAAGATGTGTGGCTATCATCCAGGTCTAGTGTGATTGTGTGTGTGTGTGTGTGACTTGAAAATTAAATAGACAAGTCAATATATTTATTCTTTTAAGGAGTTTAAAACAAGTTCATAGATTCATTTATGTTGCCGTTGCCCTGGTTGAAAATAAAAAAAGTGGAAGTACGCAGTACGGCTTCATATTTTTAGTAAGTCCTGAACGGACTACATTTTTAGAGTACATTTAAGCCGGGTTTTCCTAGACGCTGAAGCGGAGAGCGGAGAGGGGAACGCGGAGAGCAGACTCCACTTGTCTTAGGTAATTTAATATTACCGTTTTACTAGAAGCGGAGCGGAACACCATGTTAATCTCTCCGCTCTCCGCTCTCCACTTCCGCGCCTAGGGAAACCCGGCTTTAGAGTGTACTGGTATTTCTAAATTTCCAAGAATATGCAGTGTACCTTAGTCACCTAATGTTTCTATGGGTATCACCAATCTTAGAAACATTTTCAATCTTTCAAACTAAAACTAGGTCATATCACAGGGCAAAATGGGGTAGCTGAATAAGTTAAGACGTTTTGTCTAGAACAGGGGTCTCCAACCTATGGCCCGTTACCCGTAAGTAAATGTTGCGGTCTCGGTGATAACAAGGTTGTCATTCGTGATCGCGGCAACTTGGCAATATCGTGGTCGCCACTCGCGGTCGCGGCAACTCAGCAACAAGTCCTACTTTAAAACTTTCATTATAGAACAAATACCAATATCATGGTAAATATAATGTAAAATTAATTTATATTAACTTTCTTTTTAATTAGAATAATCATAAGCCTACTTATGTTATAAAGTATAAATATGACAAACACAATTTATATAGGCCTACCCATAAAAAATTATGTGAGGTAGGTCAATTATTTTGTTTGGTAACAGCATCATTTACACAAAAACATAAAGAATTTTAGTTATTTAAAAGGTTATAGCAACAAAAAAATCTGCAAGAAATGTTCAAACTTCTTTGCTGCGCTCTTAATAAGAAAACTACCACTTTGTGGATTATTTGAAGGGGGCTACCTTTGTACGCGGATCCAAAGTGCTCCAAAGATTGTCAATGTGGCCCTTGAGTAAAAAAGGGTTGGAGATCCCTGGTCTAGAATGTGAGATGAACGTTCATTCCTATCTTGGAGATATTATAAGATGATTAGAAGCTCTGCCAGAGCCTCCTGTTTTCTCTTATGACATATTCAAACACACAAGGGTGAGTTGCAAGTCTTGGATTCGGGTCTGAGATGGACGGTCTGATCCCCAAAACCACATTTGAAGGGATTGGAACCACTTTCACTAAAAAGGGTTGAAGTTTCTTTCACACAAAATGCCCCTGGCATAGACACTAACAAATAAAAATATATTTGTAACAATTATATTTTTTTGCAGGCCGCGCCTCAACCTTGGCCTTTCAATCCTGACGACTTCATTGCTTCCCTGGAGACATCAGGCCCTCAACTTACTTCCGGCATCAAAGGAGATTGGGTCGGTCTTTATCGCAGGTTCTTCCGATCTCCCAACTTCAGCGGTTGGTACAACGCTCGTTACAAGGGCATGAACCAGAAGCTGCAAATCCTCCAACTAGAAGCGCTCTCTGATGCGGTAATTGCATTCAAATCATTTGTCCGCCTTAAATAATAAATAATTTTCTTACACTTTTCAGTTTCATGCTAACCCCTTACAAAAGCTTCTTTGGGTAAACAGTAAAACCTCTCTGGACTGAAACACATTTAGCCAAAATAACGATTATCCGAATAACGGTCTAGAAAAAAAAAACACTGAAATGTATTTTTGACAAAGGAAGAGAAAACGTTGAAAGAACAGAAACAACTCAAGATAAAATCAATAGAACGGTATTAGTTTTAAAACTCAAAATTTATCTACATAGCCTATATCAGGCTTAATATACCCTCAACATGTAGGCCTACCTACTTCAGTTACATAATTGCCTTGTTATCATCACTTTGAATGGTGATAAGAAACTATTTAAAAAAACCTCCCCCATCTTGGTTTTGGCTGAGAGAGGTTCTACTGTAACTATTTTAGCAATCTATGCGCTCTGGCATCCTTTACCTTATCTATAACCAGTGCTCGATTTGCGGGAGATCGTGTATTTATCTCAGTTCATCTTGTGTGTTTTTTTTTTTTTTTTTTTTTTAAGAAGAGTGAATGGAAAGGATTTTTAAAGCATGTTGTATGTTGTATGTTAGTTTAGATATATCTACCATAACTTGTTTCATCAAACTAATACAGCAGAGATACAGCAAGATGTGTACACAATGTTTATAAATTTAGAATAATTAATCATGTGAGTTCTAAATAACCTAAAACAAATATGTTGGAAATATTTATAGCTAATTAATTGTAGACATTTTGGAAATTTGTATTGTAAAAGTGTTTTTCTTGTGGTTGAAACATACAAAACTTTATCGAGCTGATTACTATTTCACATCAGCTGTGTACAACTTGTGAAATAAATTCTCGATTCAGACATATTTTCTGTGCCATGAACACATTGATAAACTAAACTTTCTAAAATTACTTCACAACAGCAGTGGTCGGTGTAGTAAACATCAAATGAAAGGTAGAAAGCGTCATGTTCTTTATTTCCCTTACCATTATACTAGCAGGCCACCACTCCTTAGTCTCATTGTAGTGGCAATATTGATATGAGGGAAAATGGACACCCAACTATGATTCACGTTCTGTGATTAGATTTCTGTGGTCTACCCCCATTGAAGTCCATCAGCAGTTTACAGACATCAATGGAGAAAAGTGTGTAAACATAGAAAATGTGTGTAAGTAGGTGGTGGGAGTTTGGAGGAAACATCAGAAGCTCAAGGTTTCCAACATTTTGCCCAGTGTAGGTCGGCTACAGTGGTTCAGTTTCTTTTGAAGTAGTGAGCAAAGTTTGGTAAATTGTGCTTGTGAATCGCTGTGTGAAAGAGATTGCCAAACTGAAGGGGGCTACACCCTGGTAGTCTTAAGCACACTGATCATCAAGCAAAGTTTCCTCAACTGCAAGTTTTATCACTGTCTCCATAAAAGCTGATAAACACCTGCTGCTGGCCTCTTCGTAAAAATGTTTTTGTCCTTCTGCAAACTCCCGAAGCCAATAAAGCACATTTTTATCTCTAAATACAGAAAGGTTTCTGTTTACTGCTTATGCAACTGTTAACTAGAAAACAATTTCATTAAGGGTTCCATAGAAACTTGTATACTTGGCAGGAGCGTTGATTTTCCCTCATGTTGTTATCTGCTCCTATGACGAGACCAATCGTCTTGTAGGGGTGAGAACCAGCTAGGATAGTAGTTAATGAAATAAAGAACGGCGCTGGTGTCAGATTTGACCAGCTCTATTGGTCGTAATAGTGGCTCCTTGAAGACTTTCATTTAAGGCTACAGAAGTGACATTGTCCTGTTAATATTAGAAAATGAAATTGCTTCATGTGGTATAACTGACAATGTAACCATTTTCAGTGAATAATGTTATTGGGTTCATACTCTAGCTTTTGTTAATATATGTTATAAGTGAGCTTTATGTTTGTCATTCTAGGACGTTTCAAGACGTAGAAGATGGTGGCAATTTATCATTTGCTCTCTCGGCTGATTTTAAGTTATAAATAACAGAAAACCTCACACATTTCTTCTCAGGAAAAATTTTGTTTCAGTTTTTATTTTTATTTTTTTAATTATGAACCATTTGGTATTAGGGTACTTTGTGTTGGCACTTTGATTGGCGTTTGAGACATGTACGCGTGACAATTACAAACAGCTCTAGTCATTAATAATAAAGGTTGTAGATTCTATTGTCATATGAACTTGAAAAGACTTTGAATTAGAATCTTAGTTGTTATTGTGTTACCTTATTCATGTTAAAATCGCTAGTTGTTGTAATAGAATACAGAAGAATTATATATCCTTGTCTGTAAATATTTAATGTTCTTATTTACTAGACAGATAGAATGATATTTGAAAAAATTGTTCCCAGTAAATATAAGTATAGGGGGAGGCATGGAAGCTACAGATCTCAGGAATATCAAAAACACAAAAACACTCTCATGAGTTATCTCTTTTGGTCCTGTTTTGTGTTTTAAATGTTCTTTTTTATGTTAGAACCAAATCAATTTATGTATTATATTCTCTTCCTTCATGACAAAGACTGATAGAATTCAATGATCTCACTTGAATTTGTAGAATGTAAATTTAATTGACAGATTATAATATTATTAATTTTTTAATACCAAAACTACTATGGTTTAGGTTTGGTAGTTTTAAAATGTTATTTCTGTACTCACATTTTTATAGTAAGTACGTAGATCAAATTAATGTGTACCAGGAAAACAATTGGTAGAAAACATTTAATTGGCAATTTTTCATTTGAACGTAGTCTCAATTTTCAAGTATCCTTTTTTAATTTTGTAGAAATTGTAAGACTTACCTTATAAGAACTATTTAAATATTACCTAAATATAATAATAGTGTTATAAATATTATGTTCATGTAACAGATCCATTTTAGATGTTCTTTCAGAACAATAGGCCTACCATAGTTATTTTTAGTTTTGGATTTCAAAATAAAGTTATGTTGTTTGGCTTAAATATTTTTTGCCTGGGATTTTGTGAGAAATAAACTAGATGTTAAGTAGTTGAACAAACTAAATTCTTCAATATTGTCTCTGATTTTATTTGTATTTACTTATTATGTTAATCAAGTATTAAGATTATGCAGGGTCTCTTCTTCAATTTTCCAAGTACAGTAGACTCCCTCTTATTCGGACTCCTCGGGACTAAGGCCAGTCCGGATAACGGTTTTTCTGGTTAAAACGACGTCCACAAAAACTCGTTATGTAGCCCAAGTATTAGACTTAAATTTAGGAAAGCATTGTATTTAGACACGTAATCACTGGTCTCAAATCTTTCCCACGAGAACAGTTGTTTCAGTACAGCCTGCTTCCTGCCAATCTAGTCCGGTTAAACCGATGTCTGGATAACAGGGAGTCTACTGTAATATCTTAACTTTTAGTTTACATTGCAATTTGTTCAAAGTTTAATTAACGTAAATTGATAGAGATTTATAAACCACAATTTTCAACAATATATGCTAGTTTATGGTTAGGGGTTATGGAAAAAATTAATCTTATAAACCAAACGTAAATAAAAACAAGGGCTGCCCAGTAAGAATTAGACGTTCAGTGGTTACTTTGTCATCTTAGCTTCAAAGTTGTTTCACACTTAATATGCATCGATCTGTTTAGTTTGTGACCCTTGTACTTTGTTCTCTTACACTTCCCCACAGGTGTTGAAGTGAGCTATTCAATTAAAAAACACTTTACAGATGTTAGGTGTGTTGCCAGGTTGGATTTTTTATGCAAAACTGTAATCACCAACTGAAATTGATCATCAGGACTATTGTAGAAATGAAACAACAAGCTAAAACTGAGCAAGACCGATCAAAACTGCTAAATCAATATTTATGATGAATCGCCACAGTGAAACCTCTTAGCAAAAGTCAGCAAAAACCCAACTAGTAAAATTATTGTTTGCCAACTATGAAAACAGTACATTGTTATTGTTTGGTAAACTGAATCTTGGTTATCTAAACAAGTAACACAGTATAAATCAGTGTTCTGAATCACCAACTAATTTCTACTTTGAGAGTATCAAAAAGCTTATGTCATATAAACCAAAGAATGGGGTTGGATAAATAGTGCATAAATAAATTTGTTATTGTGCAGTAAATTTGTTTTTTTGTACAGTAGTAAAAATATATGAAAAAGGATCTTCAGAGTTCCCCTTAAAAGAGCATTTTAACCACATTTGAATATTCATGTATACAATTTAATGTATGTAATACGATTATTTTTTTTATTTTGTCGAATTTGTATTCCAAATGACTCATACCTTCTGGATGGTCCTCATCATTGAGTACACACGGCGTATTTATACAGGAGTATAAAAAAGTTCCTTCTTTGAAATTTAACTATTGATCTAACTAGAATTTTCTGTAAAAATGTTGTCACTCGATAATTTGATCTTTCTTTGTCAAGTATTGGCAAGGTTATTTTCTGTGGATTTGTAACAAAATGTTTTACGATTATTTAAACAATAAATGAAACAAAACTGTGTCCATCATAAATAAGCTGTAAACAGGGTTCAATATAGTTAACTATGACCATGTTTCTTAACAGTTGGCATTATTAACAAAAATAATATATATAACAAAACCTACCAAGAAAGAATATTTATCAGCCAATAGCAAAATCAAATCAAATCAAATCGGTCCAATGGTCAAATTATTCTCCCCATACAAAGGAATGTAAAATATATGTTTTGGTAAACACTTTGAATAATACTTTTCTACGTGAACTTTCAAAAAAATTATGCCAAACTGTGAAAAATGCTGATGTTATTTACTGTCGCATGGTTAAAAACCGAAAAAGAAATAAAAAAGTCATATTATATCAAAACATGATTTTATTTGGTAACAAAAGCTTAGAACTGTCCAACATGGATATTGGATACCATAGTATTGTTATTGGGAGGGTTTGTAAGTGCAAGCAAGTGGTAACTATTCCCAAGGGGTGCTATCTAATACCACAAGCAAGCCCTGAACCTTACAACTGAGTGACAACCAAAAAAACTCGTACTTTGGAAACAATTTTGTTTATGTAATGAAATCTGGGACCTCGAACAGTATAAAGTACAGAATCCCTCATCTCAGATACCCATGGCCCTTCATGTGTGTGGTAATTTAATGATCTAGAGATAAAAAAGGTTGTGGAAAGCTTACCCGTACCAATTGGCTTTAAGCCAGTGTTACACCGGGTACGCCCAGTTATGTTTTGTGTAACCAGTAGTTTTAAACACCTTTAAAGAGAAAATTTCTCCCTCCTCACAGAAATAAAGAGTCTACCAGGAACTAAGACGTTGCAGCATCGGCAAGCTTACTTTGAGAAATGAAAGCTGAAACCTAATTCAACTGAGACAGAAGTAGTCTGTTATCCTAGCAATATACCATAATTTGAAGTGGATTTAAGTGATGTTCAATTAGAATAGATTGCACGCTGACCTTGTAAGCCACCGAGAAAAATGCCAGGAACGTAGGATCCAGAGCCAATAGCATATATCATCTACCTGCACTGTCTTTTCTTTGGAAGCCAACTCAAAAGTTCTGCGTACATCAGCCTAGTCTATGATCCTATTGGCAGCTGAGTATTCTGTTCCCGCCTGGCTGAACAGTGTAAGAGTATTGGTGTACAAATTTTAAAAAGTAATTTACAACATCAAGTGGTGCTTAGCCTTACACCTCTCCTCTTGCCTGTGTCGAATTGTCCTTCTTAGATATATTGCAAAAGACACTTTTAATAATATAATAATATAACTATCTGGTTTACCTCAGACTTGTACTTCTTGAAAGACCTCCCACCGTCATAGCATCCACTTACAGGCTGTTTCAGTTTGCCAATTAATGGAGACTCTATTCTCGCCCAATGACCTGAAGAAATGTGAAAACAATCCCAAGTCTACGAGTATGTTTAAGTCTAAACAAATGAGTTGTCTGATTAATGCATGAGTCTCACACTACAGGCTGGCCATCTGTGTGTGGATTTGACAATGAATAAAGATAATGAAATTGAAACGAAATGTCTTGGGGAAACGTTTGTTGACAGAAAGTAGTTCTTGCTTTAAGATCCACCAACAAAATGAGGTGGCAATTTCCTCTAAAAGTTGAAACTTGTATTAAGTTAGTTTTGTACCAAGAGTTGGGGTGATTCGTGAAAGTATAAGTGAGGGCAGATCCTGGAGTCAGTTCTTTGTTACTTTTCCTTTTACGTTGCACCCTTTTAAGAAGTAGGTGTCTTCTTTTCACTGTATCTTAAGGCACACATAAATACTAACAACACATTGTATTGAATTAGCTACAATCAGTTGCATATAAGTCTCTCGCTGGTATTAATAGACAGTTTGAAGCAAAGCAAGGGGCATAAGTTAAAAAGTAGTTTTTTCTTTTTTGTCACTGTTTAATTTTTAATGAAGTTGTCAAAAATGCTTTAAAGGAAAAGCAATCTAAACACATTAGTGATGTGTCAAAACCGAATCTCAAATCTCAAAACCATCATAACTTTGGAAAAGTTTCGGTTTTGAGATTTTATCACCGAGTTTCAAGATTCAAAAGTTTTCAAAATTGAAGATTTTGGCAGTTTTATTTTTGAAACTGCTCATATTTTTTTGCTACACTGCTACTCTTTAAACACAGTTTTCACACAAGTTGGTACCAATAGAGCAAACAGATCACCATTAACATTAATGAAACAAGTCAAATGTATTCTGAATTTCAAAAGGCATCTTAAATACTCTAACTGGAACGACATACAATTCAGTTTCATAACGATATTTGCTAAACACAAAGAAATATTGACCACTAAATGTTCTAATTAATCTAATGTTTATGTTGGTGTCAGGAGTTAAGTTTATTTTAATGTTGGTTGTTTATAAAAAATTTGGTTGTTTTGGGTTTATCAGTCACATTTTTATGTTAACATGTCAGGGTCAGGAGTCAATATGTGTCAGTTTGTGATTGCATACTTAACATTTAGTTATTCCTGTATTTTTTGTAACCTTGACCTTTGTAACCAGCTAAGTAAAAAAGTTTTGCGTTTAGGTTTTGACATTCAAGATTCGGGATTCTATTTTTTAAAGTTTCGGTTTCAATTTTGAGATTCAAAATTTCTGGTTTTGACCATCACCAAAACACATCAGGCTGGGGCCACACTCATCTTACATCACTGAATTTATTCCACGGGCGTTACCCTTGGGTTTGAGAGATACATTACGGTATATGGGGCAGGCCACACTTGAGTAATGTCCGTAAACACGTTTACCAGACTTGCTGGTTTTACCAGCGAGACTGACAAACATATTTGAACGTGTATTCTCTACAAACATTCCACGGGCGTTGCACGTAAAACTAGTCGCGGGACATTACGGCTTATGGGAGTGAACAGACTCATCTTATCTCGCTGAATTTTTTCCACCGACATTATAACCTGACTGATTTACTGTGCAGTGAGCTTGGAATGAGGGGAGTGCGGATCACGGACACCGACGATTTTATTGCTAGTGTGGCATGCTCTATCAGTCTCGATGGTTAGCCCGAAAAACCTATCTTTTAAGACGAGTGTGGCCAGGGTCAAACTCTTCCACGTGCTCGCACGTGAAAACGGAAAAACCAATCTCGCTGGTTAAAAATTACAAGTGTGACCCCGGCCTCAATATGCCTGCTATGAAACCAGTTCCTCTTGTACCTCATGGTTAACAACACACCCACCAGTTGTACTCTTTTAACGCTGTATTCTTTGTTGCTGATGTATAAAAATTGATATCTTAAATAACTCTTCCAGTGGTCAAATAATAAATAAGACAAAAATAAAGTGTACGGCTTTTTGAAAATTAGATACAACAACAAATAATAATTCCTCTTTCCTCGCTTTTTCCCTCATCATTACATTCAATAAGTGATTTGGTTGTGCCGTGACCAAAATACTGCCTTTCATTGTATAATTTCATTTTGTGGATTCATTTGTACCCCAACCATTACAATTCTCTTTTTTATTTTTGCACCCTCTCATAAAATTGTATTTAATCCTCTGAAAATTTTCAGGATTTGAAGAAGTGGGTTGTTGACAAAAAAGAAGTGGAAGTTGTAGACATGATTCTCAAAATAAAGTGCAAACTAGAGAAGTGTGATGCGGAGGATATGCCTTTGGGAGAAGAGACGAGGCGTCAACTCAAGTGTCGTCTGCAGGACATTGTTTGTACTCTGCCTGAAGACCTGAGGACTGTACTGTCTTACAGCTGATACTCTGTATCTAGTCATCTACCATCCTGCCTTGGTATCGATTTGGATGTTTTACCTGTAGTTAACATTTTAAACACTGTCTTCTCCACCGTAACTTGTGGATTTGACCAATTGTCTATGCCAAGTTTTATGGTAACTTTTAGAACGATTCTGAACTATGTTTGAGCAATCATTTAACATAAGTATAGGGATTAACGGGTGCTAGGAAGACCAATGATTATTGATTGCAAACATTTGAAATGTGATTTTAGTATTTTACATGATTTTAAGGTATAATTTTTACATACTCACTATGATTTTGAATATAAAGGGCTATTTTCTTAAACTCTTTCTTCAAAGTTTGCTCATGAAGTATTTGGTAAATTGTGTGATTATTACATGATCTTGATCTTCAAACATTCTAATAATCTTCCAGCTGTTATTAAGAAACAAGCTATAAACACATATGGTTACAGAGAATTCTTCTAGCAAGACTGGACATTATAAACTTCACACTACTATAAAAAATACATGTTTTTCCACTATAAGTTTAAATTAAATATAAATTTTGTTGTCTTCCTTACTTGTGGCAATATGTTTAGTTTTAAAACACTTTGACTAATAATTATGTTGATTCTTAAGATCAATACCAAAAATATTGTTACAAATCTATTCTTGGAACTGATGCTAAACAGTTTAGGAATAGGGAGAAATTTTTACCAATTACGACAATTAACTTGTAGTATGTTCGAAGTAACATTTTGGGATCATAAAAAATTATCTGTAATCATGATTTTAAATTAGGTACACTGAAAGGGGATGCGGAATACCACCCCCTATAAAACCACCCCCCAGGTGAAACGTGACGTCACAAAATCTGCCAACTAACCAATATGGGAGTCGTGCCCGCGACTGGAATACTACCCCCCCCCCCTTTAGCAAAAAGTGATGCTTTGTAATTGTAATTTTAATTTGAGTAATTCTGTTTGATAACAGAAAAGGCATGTGGAAGGTACAGTATCATATCATACAGAATTTTGGAAAGTTACAGCAAGTTTGGTTGGTTAGGTTAGGTCAGTTTAGAACAGTGACAACAAAACTTGAGTGTCTGTGACTGGAAAACTGAAGTCCCCCCCCCCCCACCGATCTTTGACGTCAACATGACGTAGGAACCTGCTTGGGGGGTAGTTGTCCTAGGGCAGTCTTCCGGCGACCCCACTGAAAGATGTTTAAAATCATTGAAACCAAAATTCTTGTAGGCTTAAATAATATACATAAATGTATATGTATAAATATAAACATGAGGCAATTTTTAAATTACTACCTTAAAATTATCATACAGTGAGTGGAAAATATGCTCAACCGAAGCTTAACCAGCTGATATTTGATATGTTATTTTCCAATGTTTAGCCTTTAAAAAGTGTTGCATTCCTATCAATAATTCAAATAGCAATTTGTTAGATTTGTTTAAAAATCAGCTGATCACGGTAAAATGATTTAAACTAGATGCTTCCACGGTGGAAGGAAAATACATAGGTGTGCTATTCCCGTCACATGCTGACGTCACCCAGATTGCAAACGAAAAATCACCTGATTGGATTGCCATATAAGTATATATTTGTTTTGACTTGATTGTTATTGTTTTTATAATTTTTCTAAATGGTAAAATGGTGTTTGCAATCTGAGTGACATCAGCATATGACAGGAATAGCACACCTATGTATTTTCCTTCCACCATGAGATGCTCCCATTTGGAACTTGTATAATCATCTAAGATTATAAGTTTGACATCACTGAAAAAGTTCCTAAACATGGATTTTTAGAAAGAGGTAAGTAGGTACCCTTGCATTGTAATGCTAATAAGTTGCTTATCATGTCTTCTATTCCTTGCTCAATCATTTTGTAAATGATCGATTTCAGGTTAAATTTTGGAGATTATATTTTTTTACTGATATGTCAGGAGTGTGGGGAAATCAAGCACAATTGTTTTGTCATCGGTGGAAGTAACTACAAGCAAAAGTTATTGAATCAGATATGATGAACGATTTTAAATTCTGATACAGAAGAATAAAAATCTGACATTTTGAGAATTGAATTAAGTGTTTCAATTGGATGTTAAGGATATAAAGGATGTAGTGAATACCACAACAGATATTGGATGTAAAGGATATCGTCAAATTTGTTTCAAAGTCTGTTGAGGTTCATTTTAGTAATCTGTGATATTTAATAACCATTGTCCATTGTTGTAATTAAAAGTTTTAATGCAATTTGTTTACAATGTATTGTTGATCAGAGTAAATACATAATTAGTTTTGTAGGTTCTTTCCACTATGTACCTAGGACTAGGTGGTACAATTAACATGACGGATATTTTAATTTACCTTTAGTGTGCCAAACGTGTAATCTCTCTACGGTTTAACCGTTTAACTATCAATACTCATTATTTAAGTTTTACAACAATGTAAAGATATATAAAATACAGAGAAGGCTGTTTACTCCTTAATTCAGTGGTTCCCAATATGTGATACTGTACACTTTATCCTAGAAATTTCTTTTGCTATATATAATAGAAATCCAGAGCTTATTAAAAAGTAATCTATGGTACAAAATCAAAATAAATTTCTGACCACAAACACGTTTCTGTTCATCGCCATTATTCACATCAAGACATAAGTAACGGCTGTTTGGATGGAAAAAACAAACATATTGAGTAAACATACTCTGGTAAAAAGATGGACATTATTTTAAACTGAAGAACCATTAAATAGTCTGCATTTGGTACTGATAGTTCTTATTCTTAGTTACAATATTGAAAAATATATTTTACGCCACACTACACTATTTTGACGAACTTCCCACGCAAGGATTTAGTCCAGAAAACAGCTGTTTGCCGCCAGCTTATTCAAATGGGGGTTCATTGCGTACTACTGTACTGTAATGAGTTTTACCGGACACCAATCAGCTGATTATACCGTATTTAGGTGGCAATGAATGGTTATAAACAAAAACATAACCTCTAAGAGAGGTTACGACTAGTGATTCTTAGTCCTTTAGTTGGTGGAAATATATAAAGATTTGTACAGATTTATTAGTATGGCGTAAACTATCGTACGTAACTCGTCCAAAATGTGTGTACCGGACTCGTATGGTAATCCCGTACTCGACTTCGTCTCGCACGGGAACGACCACACTCGTCCGGTAAACACTTATTTTCAGGACTAGTAACGTAATATACTATTACATCATACTACACAGAAACAGGTACTTTTCCATCCGTATTGATAGGATGGAAAGTTGCCCTTTGCCGTGCCTACACACAATGTAATGTACTTTTACTGTGCATTTAGTCAGCTGATGAAAAAGCTAGCTTTAGTAAGCTGATCGTAACGGCCTATTTTATTTTCTGAAATATAAAAATATTATAATTGTGTTCTGAATTTAAAATGAACTAATTTTTCTGAGTAGTATGATGTAATGTATCATACGTTACTCGCCCGGTAAGCTTTACTGCACTTACACGGTAAAATACCACTTACTGGGCTAGTAACAATATAGTATTCCATTGAGGACATACAGTTTTACCAACCATTGGGAACTACTGATTTATATAAAGGAGTTGCCTGTAATGTAATTTATCTGGTCACAGGATATTTAGTTATCTTAATTATAAATGATTTCATGACAGGTATATTGTATTTTTAAAACCAAAGTACAATATTAGTTTGAAACCCTTATCAAATTCTGTCATAAGTTAGTTAAACTACTTAATTGTATCTAAATAAACAAAGGCAAACCTTGTAATCCCAATACAGTATTTATTTACACAAAGAGTTTATATTATTAATGTATTTGAATTATCTAAGTAAAGTTGGATTGTCAGAGAAGCAAAAAAACTCATTTACAGTGAGGCTCTAATAATATATACAGTAGAATCACACTTGAAATATATACTGCACGCATATACTTTAAAAATATAACACAGAAGCTAGTGACTTTTGTTAAGACTTGCACAGCTGGAAGATATGCGAGTTAAGGCTAATGCAGAAGCAGTCGGTGGAAGAGTCTGTAGTCTGTTGTCCTGAGGTTAAATAAGTGTGGTTTTACTGTGCCACTTAAATACCCCTATAAATGGTAATTTTCTTAAGATATATGATTAAGTAGGTACTGACCTAAACTAAAAGATAAAAAATGTTGAATGTGCACTAATAATAATAACTCAGACCAATTTTTGCGCTTTAAAATTATAATAATCATTTGTAGGTTGTTAATTGTTGTGGTGTTGACAACAATGTTTTAGATTAACAAGGTTTGCCATTAATGTAATTTAGCTACTTTTTTTTGTTCTTTAAGTTAGAAAAAATATAAATACAATAATATAGTTTTATGTACAATATAAAATCAAAAATAATTAATTATTAGCCATTTTTGTGTTATATTCTAGGTCTATAATTAAGTATATGGGTTGTAAGATATCTTATGGTTGAAAATTAATTGTAGTTATTTGTAATTATATGCATTTGCTTACTTACTACTAGAACTAAACTTGTGATTGTGATCTAGTAAATTAGGTTTGGTAATTGGTTTTTTATTTGTTCTACAATCACATGCAATAGGACCTAGCCAACAGATTAAAGTTATTCATAACTACAACTAGTATAATTACAGCAAATACAACTGAAATCACTGATGACACTTTTCCAAAATTGTTAATTTTTTTCTCAACATTTTTGAAAAATTTTAAAGTAATACGTTTATAACATGCAGCCTTTCTGTGCTTTATGTAGGCGTAGAAATGCTTAGTTTATTTTTGGCCAAATTACTAATTTGCATGCTATTGTCAAATGTTGTAACAGTTAATAATTTGGTTAACAATGTCCATAAACTGGATAGCTACTTTACTTTTTTCAAGGACTCACCAATGCTATTTAGAAAGATGCAATGGTAAGTATCTATATTTAAATTCACTCGTTAATGGCATTAATTAACCATGATTTATAATGTAATCAGTAATAATGGTACAATTGCAGGTAACAAAAATAAATTGTCAGATTTTGAAAAATAAATGCCCTGCATTAGATAACTGTTAAGTAAGTTTTTAATATACTTGGCTGGTCAACAAAATAAGGAAAATTTTTCATTACACCTTATCTATTTTTGGTATATTAGCAAGAAGCAAGGTCTTATTGTACAGTATGTATCTTCTATGGTGCATATTTTTGTGTAAACTCTTTCCTTTTTTAGTAAATCAAACAATAACTACTAGCGTTAGGTGAGATTATTGTAATGTTCTTTCACATCTTAAGCTGGGTCGTCCCAGTTCTGCATTTTGTGAGCAATGCACACTATGTAATCACTCAACAATATACAGGGTGTTTCAAAAAGAATCGTTCGATTTTATAGTATGATAATTTCAAAACTAATGAGGTTCACGAGGTTAATTTGATACTATATGATAACTCATGAAGCTTTTTTTACATACCAACAGAACGGTACCCCACCATACTGGAATCTTCATGTGAGAGATTTTTTGAATCATAGGCTTCCTAAAATATAGATCAGCCGTCCTGGTCCAAACGATTCCGCGTTACATTACTGACCTCCAAGGTCCCCCGGATCTTACTGTTTGTGAATTCTTTTTGTGGGTTTTTGTAAAAGACACTGTTAATATCCCTCCAACAAAAACTGAAGTACCACACTAGAGCAGATGGAATTCATCACTCAAGACATGATAGCTAAGGTGTTGGACGAATTCGAGTATCGCATTGACATTAGATGAACTTCTAAAGGGAGTCATATTGAGTATTTAAATGGTATGTAAAACAAACTTTATGAGTTATCATTTAACATAAAATTAACCTCATGTCTGTATGAACATTAGTTTTCAAATTATAAACCTGTAAAATCGGATGTTTCTTTTTGAAACACAATGTTGCTTTTTCCAAGACCCTTCATCTGCCTTGCGCAGCATCTGGGAATCTTATCTCATTGCATTCTATTTCGGCTTTAAAGCGCAATAGTCTATTAGTAAGTGCAACTGTTGCTTGGCTATTTGTTGGCTGTACCGAGAACAAGGGTTACTGAAATTATTGGTTCAAAATTTACTTTCAAATGAATATTATGGCTATTTAGTTTAATTGCTTATTGAGCTCAAAAAAGCGGATTTCATCGTAAATCTCTACTCCCTTTTAATAACAACCACATTGTTTTTTAATTGCTTATGGAGCGCAAGACCTTATGTCCATTCATTAATTTTCAACAAATTGCTGATGGAAACCATTAAACGTGTTGCACTACTGTTTGGCTAGGATAACGTAATTGTGCACAAAATGCTGCACACAAATTTCAGAGCAAAGGAAAACCCAGCTTTAGAGATAAAAATACTTTGTGGGTGGTACTTTATTTCCTAGTAAATAATTATGTTTTTAGTGCTTAGAAAAATATTTTTGAGATGTAATTTTACTTCAATAAAGTGATTCTTTAATAATATTTTTGATCATTTCCAGTCTTTTTTACGTATGTATATTTTCCAAAATATTATTTTATTGTTCAAACTGTAATTATTTTCTACATTACCTTTGATTTTTTTAACTTAAAGTATTTGTTTATTTTATTTACTGTAACTTACTTTGAAAGGTCTCAATGGTAACTAACTAGTTAATGTTTTGCTAGTTGCCAATTAAGTGAGAAGTCAAACAATGTTGTGAATATGTTCCATTACTAAAAGAAAGGTTATTTTGATCAAAAAAGAAGTTCTATTGAATGCAATGAACATTTCAATACATGCTGTTGTTGTAAATAGTTTAAGTTTGCAAATCAGATTATTTTAAGATATAAATAAAATGTAGATAGTATAATATAATTAGTAAGGAAATTCTCTTGAGTCACTATACAAATATATTTTTACATTGTTAGTTTTAGTTTTTGACCAATATGCTTATATTTCCATGAATCAGGAATTGTGAAAATATTATTAATTAACTTGAGTGATAAACAATTATGTATTGTATGAGTACAACTATTATTTTAACTATTACAGTATGTATACATTACAAATCATCATATACAGATAGAAAATCTTAGTTTTACACTAAAATTGTCCTATTTTAATTATAATTTCACAAGTGCTTAGAGGAATCAGTTTTTGTATAGTTTTGTTGTAATATTAGTGTCTATACATGTTCAATCGAGTTGTTTTTTCACCCTTTTCTTCTTGACCATTAGAATAGTTTTTAAGAAAGTTTTCCAAGCTATCTCAGATATTTGATTCGGGTTATGTGTCTTAGTTTTGCTTCTCAAATGATAAGAATATTACCTACTCACATGGACGTCCTCCATCATAAGACCACATTTTTTTAGACTGTACAATAAAAACACATAAGTTAATAATTCACGCATATGACCGAGGAGTTTAGTTAAGAAATGAGTAAAATAAAACATGTACTATTTTTCTGGGAGGAGAGCTTTCCTCTTTACTAGAAGTTATTCCATATACCACCCAGACCCTCTCTGCACCCCTTATTGAAAAGCTAGATGGACGTCCATGCCTGCTCATAAGGATTATTAGATGAAACATAGTCTTGACAATATACTAAAAAATGTTTTTATTTTCACAATATTTAGCAGCTCTCTTTGGGTTTTTTATTTAGAGGTTTAATTTAGAAGTCATTCAAGAGTAAAATTTTGCCTATGTGAAGAAGTGGGTCTTGTAAAAAATACTGTAAGATTAGACAAAACTGTCTCTATTTTCTTTAACTGCTTGCACAAGGCTGTGCAATGGGGCCAAGTAATCACCAACACGTGCGGCATTTTGGGTACCTATATAATGTCATTTAGTATTGCTTGGTTCATTGTGATCAAAGGTTTTTATCATCCTTAACTCCTCTGTCAAACAGTTCACATATGGTTTTTATCTGTTAAGAATTTTCTTTTAAAATGCTGATTTC